AATTAAGGAAAAGTCATATGCTGACAGGAATATCGACCATCTGAGCATTCTGGGGGATATGATATGAGGGGTCTGTTTGTTAGTTGTGAACAACCCCAATAGAGGCTTATGGTCAGTGTAGACCGTGAAATGTCTGCCATATAAGAAATCATGGAACTTTTTAATTCCAGCAACAACAGCTAAGGCTTCCCTGTCAATCTGGGCATAGTTCCTCTCAGCAGAGGACAAGGTTCTGGAGTAATAAGCAACAGGAACCTGAGTTCCATCAGGTCTAAGATGGCTGAGTACAGCTCCTACTCCATAAGGGGAAGCATCACAAGCGATGCACACAGGAAGAGTTTCATTAAAATGTGCAAGCACACTGTTGGATGTTAGCAAGGCCTTAACCTTATTGAAACTAGCTTCATGTGCTTGTGACCATTCCCACACTGCCTGTTTATCCAGAAATCTATGAAGTGGTTCAGCTACATTAGCCTTGTTAGGAATGAATGAATTGTATAAATTCAAAAGTCCCAGAAAAGCTTGCAGTTCAGCTTTGGACTTAGGTCTAGGAGCTTGCGTGATGGCTCTTAATTTGGACTCAGCAGGATGAATCCCATTGGCATCAATTTTGAACCCCAGAAAATCTGTAGAAAGCACCCCAATTTTACATTTGTCCTTTTTTAGCTTGAGGCCTGTTTTCCAGAATCTCAGCAGAACAGCCCTCAATCTCTCAGCTAGGTTTTGGGTGGAGTCTCCAGCAATTAAGACATCATCAAAATAGGGGCAAACCCCAGGTATACCTCTCAAGGTATTTTCCATTACACTTTGGAAGATTCCAGGAGCCACGTTTACTCCAAATTGTAGTCTCTTGACCTTGAATGCTCCCCTATGAGTTACAATGGTTTATGCCACAGCAGCATCATCATCAACAGGCAACTGTTGGTATGCTTGTGCTAAATCAAGCTTTGCAAAAACGCGCCCCGCTTTGAGGGAGGCCAGAATATGGCTGACAACAGGCACAGGATAGGCATGTTGTTGTAATGCCTTGTTGAGAGTACATTTGTAATCTGCACAGATGCGAATATCTCCATTAGCCTTAAGAGGCGTGACTATGGGAGTTTCCCATGGACTGGAGTCAACAGGTTCTAAGATTCCTTGCTGAATTAATTTGTCCAATTCAGCATCAATCTTCCCTTTTAAAGCAAAGGGTACCCTTCTTGCCTTTACTCTGGTAGGCATGACAGTGGGGTCTAACTTCAAGGACACTGGGGGTCCCTTGTATGTGCCCAGCTATGGGCTGAAAACATCTGCAAATTCCTTGCAGACTTCCGTAAGTCTACTGTTTGCAAACTATTGAGTCCTGTAACTTGTATTCCCAGAGCCTCAAACCAATCGAGTCCTATGAGACTCGTATGCTCCCCCCCCACTATCAATACATCTAAAGGACCTTCAAAATCCTTATACTGTACGTTAAGGGTGGCCTCCCCCTTAACACACACTTTAGAGTTTTGAAAATCTGTGAGTACAATGTTAGAAGGCCTAAGCTTGGTCTGAAAACCACTACCAGAACAAATCTTTCTGAATGTGTGAATAGAAATGATTGAAAGTGCAGACCCAGTGTCTAGCTCCATGACCAATGGAACTCCTTGCAACTTCACCCTAAGTGACAATTTTTTTTTTAGTGGTCTGTGTGTGCCTGTCCTATAAATGCTTCTTCGTGAAGCACAGAAACCCACCCTGTTTTGGCTGGGGACCCTGGTACCTTTCAGGCGCAATTCTTCTCGGGGTTGTACCTTCTGTCGGCCCAGACATACAGCTGCTATGTGGTCTTGCTCCCACATGCTCTACAGATTGCAGAACGGAACTTGCAGTCGGTCCTCTTGTGGCGACCTCCACACCCGAAGCACTTGGGTACAGTTGAAGACTTTTCTTTGCCTTCCCTCTGCTTTCCTTCTTTGGTTGGGTAGAGATGATCTATTTCTTCATCAGGCTCCTCTTCTGAGCTTCCTTGAACTCCCTCGTGGTGCACAGAAACAGCTTCTGGAGAGCTTTTGATAGGCCTCATATTCTTGATTGCCCCACTTGCTGCCTCTTCTGCAGTAACTTCTCTCAAGGCATCTTGGAATGATATGTCCTCTTTGGCAAAAAGTCTTTGTTGTACATCTCTGTTTCTCAGTCCACATACAAATCTGTCTCTCAGTCTTTCCTCTAAATCTTTAAATTCATAATGCTTAGCTGCCCTTCTTAATGCAGCAATGTACTCTTTAGCTGATTCACCAGCCCGTTGGTCCCGCTGTTCAAAAGTATGTCTCCAAGCAATAACAGACAACTTGGGTTGAAAATGCTCTTTCAGTAAATTCTTAAGATCTGTGTAGGTAACAGATTCAAGAGGTGCAGGGGCTACTAAGTTTTCAGCAATTTCAAATGCATCTTGACCACAAACACAGAGTAGGGTAGCGGCCTTTAAGCCATCTTCTCTTACTTGATTAACTCTGAAATAATTTTCTGCTTGGGCCATGTAAGATTCCCATTTTTTGGGATGTGTAATATCAAACTCTGCAATTTTTCCAATCTTTGCCATCTTTAGTAAAGCAGGAAGGGTCTATCAGCCAGCTTACCTCCAACGAAGCTGTATTGGCAGGCAGTTGCGGAATTTAACGCCGTTTCCTCGCTGTGCTGGACTCCAGGGTAAGCTTACAATTGTCTGCATAATTGAAAGGCAATCCCACCTTCGTCGCCAGTGTTGAGTCCTTGGTTAATGGCAATGACGGCGCGAGACATTCTTGTTGTTTCAGGAATGCTTTATTGGTCTTCAGTAGCCCCGTTACAACTCAAGGCAGCACAGATCTCTCGGCCTCTCTTAAGGACGTTCCCCGGGCCAAAAAGATACATTTTGGTGCGCTGAGTGCCTCGCGCCAACCAGTCTGGTCCCGGGCAGCTTGCAGCTGCCCAGGACCGTTGCAACGTCCCGAGCCTGCCTTCGCAGGCTCAGGACACAACACTATAGCAAATTGTTATGATGATAAAACATTTTAAAAACGTCTTCCTTTTCAAGATCAACAAATCCCATAAGCACTATTATTATTACTAATAATAATAATAATATTCTGCCCCAAGTCACACATATTTGATAGGCAATATAGAAATTTAATAGGAGAGAGAAAGAGAAAAAGAAAGAGGAAGGGACAGAGAGAGAGAGAGAGATAGAGATGGTAGATAATAGATAATTGATGGAGAGAGAGAGAGAGGGAGAGGGAGAAGGAGAGAGAAAGAGAGAATAAATCCTCTCAATTTTTTTTACATATGGAAAATTCTGCAAAAGTGTCTAGAGAGGAATGGCTTCCTGAGGAGTCAATCACTCTCTACAAAGGAGAATGAATCTAGTACAAGTAGTGTTTTTACTTTTTGATGGAAGAGGTGCCTATGAAAACCAATGCACGTGGAGGTATGCTCCTGGATGCCTATTAAAAATTTTTCTCATGATTTCATTTTATAGAAACCTAACATTTTATCTTCCAAAAATGCTTTTGGGCTTCATAGGAGCTCCAAAGGCCTTCTTCAAAAATAAACTGATGTCTGGCTACAATTATGTGTTTGTCCATCTGTCAAAGTAAAAGACAAACTGAGTGGTATAAAATCTTTGATAGGGGAATTGGTGAGGGATAACGTCATCAATGGGTGTTTTTAAATTGCTCATAAGGGCAGCCATTTTGGAAATGGGATGTCTCCCAATAGTAGCCATTTTGTACCAGCATCCAAAAGTATGGATTCAAACTCTTCTTGTACTAAGTGTCTCAATAAGTTGCCTAATCTTGTTTTAAATTTTTATGCTTTTTCTTATTATGCCTGAGGTTTTTTTTTTTCTTTTGTATTGAAGGAGGAAGAGAGTAATGACTTAGTAGCACATACATTTTTCCACAGAGGAAGTGCTTGGAGACACACTGTCTCATATTGAGTTCCTATGTCTATGTAAATTCTTGGGTGGGGCAAGAATCTTCTTCTTTCCAAGTGCAAAGCTACACCACATGGGTCAGTACACCCAAATTTATTAATAAAAAGACCTAGTTACATGCCTTATTTCTCCTGATAGTCAGCAGATCTGATACTAAATCAGGCATATATACTCCAAGTCCTCTTCTGTGTAGAACTGCCAAATTTCTTTAATGCTCTGAAAACCACATATTTGTTGATGGCCACATATATAGTCTCTCCACAGTTTCCTCTGAGAGGAAATCACACTAAATTGGAGAAAGCAGATCTGTCTATTGCAGCTTGGGGAGTATGAGAAGCAGTTTGCTTTTTCATGGTCTAGGCCTAGTCTTCTTCCTATTTAAAGGATTCAGAAAAGAAACTTGACAGAAACCAATATTTTTCTATAATACAGTCCATACAAGTTCTACAAAGCAAACTGAGCTTAGCATTGATTAGTGTAGCCTTAGGGGGAGGACAGAGTGTCCTTCAAGTGAATATGTAAAAAGAACTGTAGAAAAATGTGTCAGGATGGGAGTCCTCCCAATGAGATACAAAAATTAGGAGGAAAGACTACAAGGAAAGACTGGGGGTCACCATCCATCTAAGAGCATGTTTTTTCAAACTTGGAAACTTTAAAATGTGTGGACTTCAACTCCCAGAATTCTCCCGTCAACATGGGGGACTAAAAAAGCACAAATGAAAAGAATTCACATTAAAAACATTATCATGGTAAAAAAAGAAGAAACAAATTACTGACATCTGTGGAATTAGTGCCTTCTTCAGTAGAGATCTCCAGGTGTCTTTGATGTTATTACTTTACAGATGCAATATCTCTGTTCTTCTATCAGTTACGATTTTTCATGTCTTAGCAGCTAGGCTATGAGTGCAACTTTCAAAAATTTTTGACTACTATTCCCACAATCCTTTGCATTGGTTGCACTTGTTAGGGTCAATAGGGATGTCCCAAATCTGGGAAAATTGTCTTTCTTAACAAAGGGGAGGACTAAAGCATCTCATTTTTTAATTGGAGAGTGTCCCTTTCTTACCTTAATCCCATGGCCAATGTCATCCAGAGTGCTAAAGTCCAGTGGTTTCCTGTAATAGGGCTGTAAAGACTCAAGCTTCTTTGGATAGATGATTTTCTGATAGGGAGGAAATGTCTTGGAAACAGTAAGCATCCCAATTTCACGGCGGGACACTTTCTCCTTATGCATTTCTATCACCTGCAACAGAAAGATATCATGAGAAAGGAAAGATTTGTCTAGCAGGACATAATGGGAAGCTGGAACAGGAACCATTTGCAGGTGATTTCCCAAGAGAGTTAATATGCAGCACTAATTAACAGAACTAGCTGGAATGTAATAGAAAGAATGAAGCCCACATCGCTAGATCAGCTGGGATTCAGTACTATACTGGTGCTATCTCTTCCAGAACTATTACTTCTCCTAAATAGTGAACACATTTGTTAAGTGTGGATGGAGAAGTATGCAGTATGGATTGTCTGGGGAGAACCCAAAGATTTGCAAAAATTCTACAGCACAATAAAATTCAGCTTCCCAACCTCAACAGAGTCCACAGTGCTCCATAGCTGTCTTTTCACAACTTTGGAGTAGACAGTAAACACCAACATGTCAGCTATCCCATCATTTCATTCTCAAATACTATTTTTTTTTACGGGAGAAAAAAGGGCAGAGTCTATGGTGGAAAAGTTACAATTGGAGGATGACCTTGTTCAATTTACTGTGAAATTCTATGAGCAAAGTAAGATTATTTCAAGAGCAGCAACCAGGGAATAGATTCTTGAATTTGATTGTTTCCCTCCCATTCCCTATTCCTTTTCTACTGTTAAGTCAGCCTTTCCATCCTGATCAATTCTAGCAACACAGCTACATCTCTCAGAAGTACAGTCTGTCTGGGAACTCTGGAGATTGTGTCTCATCACATTTAGAAAGTATTAGTTTTGAGAAGACATGACTGCATGGTGGAGGGTCCACTGTTTTGTTTAAAGCTCAATTATTAGTCTAATAATATTACTAGTCTAATTTGTGTTATTAATCTAATAATATTACAAATTATAAGCAATATTGAGAACCAGTTTGGTGTAATAGGAGTTTTAGTCCCAACTTGGACACAAACTGGGTAACCTTGAGCCAGTCACTCTTTCTCAGCCCTTGGAAGGAAGCAATGCAAACCCCTTTGGAAATATTGTCAAGAAAACTGCATGTTGGAAATGACTCAAAAAGATAGAGATCCATTAATAATCTGATGAATGCTCATTCATTTTCAGGGCAAAACTGCACTTAGCTTTGGGGAGCAAGTCAAACAAATAAAGTATGCAGAGCCAGCACAAAGATTATATTTGATTTAATTTACATTAACATTGATACAATGTAGTTCATATAATTATTTGCCCTGAATTTAATTATTTCCCTTCTTTCATCAATTGAGTGTTACTGAGATCTCCACTCAATACTCAATACTTAGGAGAGGCAAAGGTTGGCTATCTCAGTGCTGTCCAACCCTGATAGGACCTACAGTCCTGGGGCTTATAAAATAGGCTATACCAGAAGGAATGTTGACCTGTTTTTCATCCAGCAAAACATTCCTTAAGTTCCTAAGTAAGAATGTACATTTATCATCGTTTGGGATCCTGGATGTGAGTTATTGCTGTAAAACATTTAAATGAGAAAATAGGATTACAGCACCTAGAACTGAAATCTGGCCATCATTTCATGATTTGAGGCAAAATAATAATGAGATTGCATCAAACTGCAAACCAAGGAAATTAAGAAGCAGTCACTGTGCAGTGAGAACATCCTAGGGGCTGATATTTCTGAGGAAGGCAGAAAAAGGAGCTCTCTAGATAGGGTCTTGAGCATATTCTCACTTTGCAAGACTAATTATACCATTTGTTTGGTTAAGCAGACTTGAGGCTTTATGCAAAATGTGGTTCGGTGCAATATGTGAACTCAGCTACTTGTTGATGGCCAATGCAAACAATACTGAGAAGAATAGACCAGATCTCATTTGGTAGAAAGAAACTTCCTTCTTCTGCTGTTTAAACTGATTTGAACCAGAGATCACTGGTTCATAGTTCCTCTCCTACCACCTGCTTCACTCCTCTCTGGCAGAAAAAAAACACCTAAATTGTTTATCATTACACACCATATTATTTGGCCAGCACAAATAAGAGTATTCTGTCTAGTTCTTTTTGAAACACCATATAAATTAGGAAGTGAAGCTTCCTAAACTGCAGTGTTTCTCAACCTTGACAATTTTAAGGCATGTGGACTTCAACCAATGCTGGCTGTGGAATTCTGGCTGTGGAATTCTGGGAGTTGAAGTCCACATGCCTTAAAATTGTCAAGGTTGAGAAACACTATCCTAAAGCAAGGAAAGCATCCCAGGCTAGGTTGAACCTCAACCTTGATTTTTTTGATTTTTTTCAACATTTCTGCTGAACTGAAAGAAAATATTTGCAGCTGCCAGATTATCACCTAAATGCACAATTCTCAGATTATGAGCATGATAATCTAGAAGAAACAATCTAAAATTGAAATAGATTAAATAGAAATTTAATTAAAATCAGGGTTTTTTTTTTCTTTTTGTCCAAGAGAGACCTGCAGGCAAAAGAAAATCATATCTATTTCTGCACAATTGTTGCAAAACAAATTCTGAGATCCAACTTCAACAAACTCTAACTGCAGCTTGACCATTAAAGTTATTTTTTCCCGACAAACATGCATGCACGCGCACGCACACACACACATATACACACATAATGCACACACCTCCCTTGGTTATATAAAAGTATAGATGTTTTGGAAATATAAAGCAAGTGAAATAGTACAGATGATTAATCCATTCCATTTATGCTTCCTGATCACATGTGTTCTATTTTATTTTGTTTTTGTTCTTACTCTTAGGAAACAGGAAAACCATCAAGCAGGTCCCCAGTCTCACTCCAGTAACAGGAAGAGGGATCCGATATCTGCTGGGGACAGGCATACATCTTCACATACTTTCAGTAAGAAGTGGAGAGAAGGGAATCCATTGGTTTGAAAAAGTTCAGAATACAGGGATGGGTCTGCTTTGTGAGCTTAACAGTGATTCAGAGGACAAGGAAATTCCCTGAAAAAAGGAGACAATGCAGCTTCTCCATATATTCACCAACTTCCCATCTCAGAAAACAATCCAACAATAGGAAACAAACCACATATGTTGGGGAAATAGCCATACAATTAAATGGGATGCAAACAAATATCACAAGGCCAATCACAAAAAAACTTGCCCAGGAGGTACAGAAAACATATTAATCTTACAATTGCCTCTCATTTACATTAAATGTGACTTGACCCATTGGACATTCATGTTTACTATAAATATTTACAATACCCATGTGTAATATGTAAGGATTTGACTTGGTTGCTTCGCTAAGATAACTTTTGCTTGCTATTTTGGCAAGCGTATTAGGCAGTTATATGGATGGGAAGGCTGAGCGCCAAAGAATTGAGGCCTTTAAACTATGGTGCTGGAGAAGACTGCTGTGAGTCCCCTGGACTGCAAGGTGATCAAATCGGTCAGTCCTAGAGGAGATCAACACTGACTGCTCTTTAGAAGGCCAGATCCTGACGTTGAAACTCAAGTACTTTGGCCACCTAATGAGAAGGAAGGATTCACTGGAGAAGAGCCTAATGCTAGGAAAGATTGAGGGCAATAGAAGAAAGGGACGACAGAGAATGAGGTGGCTGGATGGAGTCACTGAAGCAGTAAAAGTGAGCTTAAATGGACTCTAGAAGATGGTAGAGGACAGGAAGACCTGGAGGAACATTGTCCATGGGGTCGCGATGGGTCAGACACGACTTCGCAATTAACAACAACAACAATGGATGGGAAAAAATGAGAACTCTGAAAATACCAGTCTAAGTACCAGACTGAATTTGGAAGATACTGAACTGAGATACTGAACAGCTTGTCAAAGCCTCCAGCTGTGGTATTTCTCAATAATGCCACCAAAGATACTTACAAAAAGAGAGATTGGCGGTTTACCTTGAAAGCTGCAAGCTTGGATTTTACTAAGCTAACAATATAGGAAGAGGTTGAAGGAGGAATCAATAGATGCATACAAGACTTCTCATGCCAACCATAGAAGTAAACAACAGGAAAAATGTTCAGAATTTCAAAAAAAAAAAAAAATCTAACCCCAATATCTTCCACATGGTGTCTTCATAGTGTCTGCTGAAGCAGGATTCTTGCTCACCTGTTCAATGGAACAAACGTTGGCTTCCACTTGTTGGAGATGGGTGGTCTGCAAGTCAAATATTTTGAGGATGTTTCTAGCTAGGCTATTGATTTGATAGGTCACACTGGCTAATGACTGAACTGTGAAAGCCATGGTTTCCTTTAGGGCTTTTCGTTTGTCTTGTGCCTATAAGTTAGAAAAGACCATAAAGAGGATGAAAGACAATCAGAACAATAGAAGGACATAAAACTGAATTCCTGCTGATTACTCCTCATAGGGCAGGTATTCAGGAAGGGAGGGCATAACTTTAGCTGGATGATCCAGGTTTTAATTTATATTAAGCCAGGAAAAGTTATGTCTCCAACATACCTCAGCCCAGTGTTCTTAGAGGAGCTGGAGTAGGGTTCCTATAGCCCCAGGCTGCAGATCTGATCCGTTATGTTGGATAGAAATGATGACAGTTGTAGTCCATTTGGAAGTCACAAAGCTGGGGGAGGCTTTAAACCATAATCATCATTAGAAAGTGTTCTCATTGGTGTAATACCATTTATTATTTAATGACTCCCAGTCTTCAATCAACGTGTATTCTCCTGTCTACCAAATATGTTAAATTATCATATTGCCTGGAAAAATAGTAAGTTTTTGTCCTATTCTCTGTGATAGTACTCCTAATCTAAGAAGAGCAGTTATTTCCAACCACTACAATAGAGTAGCTGGCTCAAACAAACTCTAAATTCTAACCTGACTTAATAAAATACAATTCCTATGTTCATATGACATGCTGTATATGTTTTCTATGTTATTTGCATTATTACAAATAAGAACTTTTAGGGATTTGCATGATGTTCTGGATCCACAACATGTCCAGTCTCCACAGAGGGGTCAAGTAGAGGGGGAGTGATGAATGATGCTGACTCCTTCCTTTTCATAACTTATCTTTAATATTGCAAGGGGATACGAAAGGTTTGTGTTATGCATCTTGACACAATATTGATGCCAAAATATTGCACTGTGTCATGACAGTGGCATCATTGTGACTAACCGTAGATGCAGTAAAGTACAGTATGATCTCACATATACTCTAACAAATATAGTATTGTACTATATACAGTTGATCAAAGAACAGTACACTCCTATCTGGGTTGTTGCCTTCTTCTACTGAGTGTTCAGCTTTAGGAAGGACACACATGGAGTGGTGAGAAAGGAAAGAGATACCCCTGGCGATCAATGTGGTGACAGATGTTTCAGCCAGATCACCCTCACAACATTAGTTACATATCATGGCCAGGGCATGTCTTTCTTTGTATCATCATCTCTCCATCAGTTTGCAGGCCTCCTGACTTCCCATGTTTCAATTAAATGTGAAGGGAAGACATCAGGAGACAACTGCTCCCATGGAAACTTGCAGTATCATTGTTACTATTACTGCTAAGAGAAAGAGTTTTGTTCTTGAGAAATGCTTGGGAAATTTCTTTCCCTCTCTCTATATACAATTTCTTTGGCTACAATCAGGTAGAGAATGTCAAAACACCATTTAGGCTCAGTTCTGTTTTATGGATTTATAGTCTACAGGAAATTCCTTTCTATCAGGCCAGATCTTTGAGGAAACTATTTCAATGTTATCTATAACATCTTTCTCCAACTTGGCATCCGTTAGCCTGGAGCAGACTAGAATAAAAATCTTTTAATTGTGATAGATATGGCAATAATACAGTGATATTGCCAAAAGGGGCAATACCAAAATTTTTATCTAGTTTTGGGATAGGGCAGGAAAAAAGCAAAATAAATACATAAATACACCCATCTCAATCTTTATTTTTTTATTTTTTAAAAAATTAAAATGTTGCATTGCTGAAATTTGTGATTTGTCACCAAATTTGGCAGTGCAACTTTGAATTGTAATTTTCAGAAAGAAGGCAGTAAAAATACAATTTTCTCACTCTTGCTTTAGGTGTTTTCAATTCCTCCTTTATTACCAACAGGCTCCTCAATTTATATTAACAGTAGAGAGTATTGAAAGTCTCAACTCTGCATTGACCAGTTCCCATACAGATTCAAAATATTCTTCAGCATGTTATAGTTAATACAGGTGCTACCTTCCCCTGGGAGCTGCACATATATACTGAGAGCCAGTATGCATTGCTGAAGCAAGGGTACTCCACTGTTTCTCTCTGTGTTAGCTCAAGCTAGACTGTCCTTGACTTTTCTCCCACTAAAACTCACCTGCTCATAGTTGCTGTCACAATAATCTGCCACTTTAAGGAGGTTGCTATAGTTATGTTGTAGAACATCTCTTGCAGATGGTATGGAGTCCTGCATCAGCTGCTGAAACTCAGACATGTCGCCACTTAATTGTGCTGGATTCACCACTTCCTTCTTACAGCAGACACTGTTTCAGCAGAGAAGTTTCGAACAGTCTGGCTGGAAACTATTTTATACTTGATTTGGCTTCAGTGACAATGCTGATCCCACCCCTTTTGCTCACCAAGACAAATATCCTGCTGATATCTGGAGATTTATTGTAAAAAGTGCCAAAAAAAGGTGCCACTTATCCATCTCTGAACTACAACTAGCTTCCTTCTTGAGATTTTGAAAATCTACTCAGTGAGTAGAAAAGTTACGATAATGAACTGAGAAAATGTTGGGAGGGCAAAATTGGCAGAATTGTTAAGAGAGGAAACCATGTATTTTTAGACCGATGCTTGTTTTACTGACTTTTCTTACAACAGTCCCTGAAAGATCAACTCTTTCCATATTATTTACAATACGTATTTCATGCAAATTCAGAAAGTCCACTATTGATTTATTTATATTTGGAAAATTGCTGGTAGTTCATAGCAAGTCTTCACTCTTTGGCTCTGTCCCCCATGATCTGGATCCTGGTCCCTCTTTTGGATATTCTTCAGTTTTCTCATACCTGCTGTCTATTGCACAAATATGAGAATATACACATGTAAGTACACATTGTACTTTCTTTTAGTGGCTCCATCTAAGAGTAAGGACCCAATACAGGTAATCCTCAACTTACAACAGTTTGTTTAGTGACCATTCAAAGTTACAATAGCACTAAAATTGATTCACGACCAATTTTCACACTTAGGATTGTTGTAGCGTTCCATGGGCGTGTGATCAAAATTCAGAGGTTTGGCAACTGACTCATATTTATGATAGTTGCAGTATACCAGGGTCATGTTGTCGCCTTTTGTGACCTTCTGACAAGCAAAGTCAATAGGGAAGACAAATTCACTTAACAATCCTGTTACTAAATTAACAACTGAAGTGATTTACTTAACAGATGTAGCAAGAAAGGTCGTAAAATGGGGCAAAGTTCACTTAACAAATATCTCACTTAGCAACAGAAATTTTGTGCTCAACTGTGGTTGTAAGTTGAGAAGTACCTGTATGAACATCTGACTTTGGTCTATAGAACCATGCAATGCAGGGCTCCATTTTACCTTTTCTTATATCCTCCCTCTTAGTTCCATCTTCCTAGATAAGTTTTGCAACCTCACAGTTATTTTGGGCTATGTCATCTACGCTCTTAATATCTTCAGTTTTCAAAGCTTTTTGGGACATGGTCACCCAAATGTAGAATGAGTTTCCTAACAATGTTTAATATATTTAAGAAAGGTTTAAAAATACATAAGTGTGGGTATAACAAAAAAAGTGGACCTTTATAAGTGAGTGATGCTGTAAAATATGATTCTTAGCAAGGATCGTGGTTTTTTTTCCATTTTATTGTTTTATGGGTTTTTATCTAATTGAATTTCTCTTTTGGCAATTTTAGTAGGGGACAAGACAGCATTTTTTAATTGGTCTTTGTATTCTGGTGACTAAATTAATTTTTAATATGTTGTTATAATTTGTGATTCTATTATCTAAACATTGGTACATTGTCTTTGATCTGCTTTTTTAATTGTCTGTTTAATTAATTGTTATGCACTTTGTTAAAAGGCAGGCTATAAATAGACACTGCTATTGCAATTATTGCTTTTCCTGTTAACATTTACAAATCATAATGTAATGTGTCTATATTCTAAGATCAATGATTAATAAGTCAAAATTCTTTATCTTACCACTATGATAGATTTGGAAGAAGGATTTTAAAAAGAGGTCACCGGATTTAAGTTTAGTTAGAGTAGACCTGGATAAAATAGATAAGTTGAATACAGATTCTGTATTAAAGGTAGGCTCATTAAAGCTAATGAAATTTAAATTAGGCACATTTAAATCCTACTGATTTCAATGCAGAGACATACATTGTAAGGTTTTAATTGTATGGTGTCAACTGCCATCTTGACTTTTTATATATACACCATCACCATATAGAGGCTTCTACTATTTCTGTAGTCTAAGCATAAATAGCAGAGTTGTGAAGGCAGAGAATTCATGATTTGTTTTTAACAACAAACCTCAAATTAGCTTTGGCCAGAGTCTATAGCTATTAACTATAGCTTCTGAGAGAAGGAATGATTTCTGAATGATTAAAAAAACATATTTTGCAAACTGAAAGGAAGAGGGATCTTGGTCAGACTTCAAATTAGGCATTGCTATAAATATCTCCAGAAACTCCCTCTCCCCACATTCAGTAACAGCAGAATCTTCATAGACTCAGGATGACTAGATGAGTTTATTTATTGTAGACAAAAATAGGACATATAAATGCAGCAAGGCTGTCTATTGCACAAATATGAGAATATACACATGTAAATATTTGGTTGGATTCTTGTTTTTCTACAATGTGTATATGCCGACTTCATGCATACATACACTCTTCAGTGCACAAGTATATATACCTCTCTGAAGATCGACTGACATGGCGCACCTTGGTGTACCAGGGTTGCCAGACATATGAACATAGAAGGACAATCTTGGCACAAGAAAAGCGAGCACTCCACAAAGCCAGAGCTGCAAATGCTGAAGTAACAGTGTCTACATTTCTTTGTTCAGTATGTGGCAGAACATTCCGTGCTAACATCTGTCTTATTAGCCACCTACGGACACATCATTGATGGTCCATAACCCACAAGATGTCAAGGTCTTCATTGAAATCGATGGACGAACAACATATAGACCTCTCTAAATGTGTATATCTGTTCTGTCATTATGGCCAGGGATGCCTATAGCTCTCAGATTTAAATCTTGGAGTTTTCTTTCACATGCATACACACACATTATTCAAGTCACTGGCCATTCCGTTCCTGCCTTGAGGGTCAGAGATATCTGTTCCACATTTATATATCTTGCCTGATAATCATTTGTTCTTGTTTTGTAGCTTCAGCCGTTGAACTTACTGTACCTGCTAAGATGCTTTCTGTTTCATGTTAGCATGAAACTTCATTTTTGAAGATGAAAAGTTTGAATTGATTACACTGAAAATACCCATAGTTCTGAAGTTATGACTGGTCACTTAATAACTATTCAAAGTTACAATAGACTGTACTTGAAATTACAACTGCCACACACATACAGGCACCCATGATCATGTGATAGCATTTTGGGTGCTTGATAACTGACTCACATTTAGAACTAGTTGCAGCATTCCATAGTCACATGACTATGATTTGCCATGTTTTTTGTCTGTTTTTGGTGTTTTTGCTGGCTTCTGGCAAAAAATGCCAACTGGATATGCTGGATTTGCTTAACTATTGATTTGCTTAAGGATTGCAGTGACTCATTTTATAACTATCTCAAAATGGTTGTAAAATTGAGTCTGTGGTGCTTCAACTTATGAGCACAATGAATTACAACAAAATCTCTGGGCACTGTTGTAATCATAAGTCAAGGGCTACCAGTAACATTAATGCAGCTTTACTTTGAAGAAATTCTGTATGCTTACTTCCTGGGAACATACTGTATTGTACTTACAAATGGGAGGGATGCAGACTTAAATTAAACAGTCTACCTTGCATAGAATAACGTGATCATGCTTGAGTCAAAACTGGGCTCTTCTTACGGTTTTGACATATTGCCCCAAATGTTCCACTGAATGGACGTGTCCTTTTTGTTGACAGGAAATATTGCATGTGACACAGTTACAACTAATCTTAGTAATTTAAACTATATCTTTTTTATTTTATTAAAAGCATTATGTGAAGGCTTTGAATGACCAAAGCTATGACATGGCAACAGAAGTCAATATCTAAGGGTCCATATCCATCTGAATATGACCACAGCATATGGAAGGTTGAACTATATCAGGAATAAGTAGTAAATTACAGGAATTAACTATATAAATGAAAAAGAAGGATATGCTCTATGTCTATGAATCTGAGGCAATGGTTCTCAATAAAGATGCTCTGATCTTGGTGGAGTGGATGCAGGAAAGCAAACGTGTAGATTTAATTACAGAACAGAGAATAATAGGCTTGGAAGGGACCTTGGTGGTCTTCTAGTCCAACCCCCTGCTCAAATAGGAGACCAGACACCATTTCAGACAAAAGGCTGTCCAATCTCAAAAATTTCTAGTGATGAAGCAATTCTGGGATGCAAACCATTCCACTGATAAATTATTTTCAGTGTTTGGAAATTTCTCCTTAATTCTAGAAAGAGTTAAAATATATGCTTTAAAGCAGGCATCAACATTGACTAAATGTGGTTTTTCTTTGGATAACAATAGTCAAGCTCTTTCCTCAATCAAACAGGAACATTTAAATTCTGCCTTTCCAATAAGTGGTTTTGATTAATGAAGGAAAAGGTTTGGGAAGCACTGCTATAAAGCAGGGCTTTTCAATCAGTGGTACACGTACCACCGGTGGTATTTTAGCATCTGGCAGGTGGTACGTGACCCCTAGCCAAGTGTAGCGGGGGAGGGAACCAGTTAGAACACACCTGGAGGAGACCAGCTGGATCTGCAGGACTCGCCAGAAGCCCCAGGATTTACATGCATGGCTGCATGCTAGTTGGAGCTTCCGGTACACCTGGAAGAGAAAACGAGGAAGAGGAGGCGGAGAGAGGAGAAACAATAAAAGGAACAGGTTTTGGCGGGAGAGAAAAAAAACACTCGGAGAAAGTGAGAGAAGATGTAAGGTCACTGGCCCTTACTTAATTTGAGATACCATTAAAAGTTTAATCAGGCATCTCAAACAGAGGCTTTTTGAGGAAACAGTTCTTTAACTGATCAAATAAAACAGGTGGATGGCAAACAAGCTGGAACGCTGACAGAGTTATGTCCAGAAGTGCCACACTTTAAAAAGTTAGTAGCATTACCTTATAAACTTTGTTAGCCAATGAAAATCAGACAACAGAGCCATTACATCATAAGGAAGACACCAATCATTCCTGTACACTCCCTTATTCCCTCCTTCAGTACATCCTATCCATGTATATGTTTCCCATGCTTGCATGAAATTTGTCTCTGATGCAAATGCTGATTACAAAAGTGAGATAGTCCAATCCATTGAAGTTTTCCTCCTAATTAGATGGAAACAGTTCAACAGGCGAGGCAGGTGGAAGTTAGGCCATCCAGCTGCTGGATTTGCCATTGGAGAGGGGAAGATGGAATTTTCATGTCCCGACTTGATTTCTTCCACTTCTCATTGCAGTTGAGGTGCTCAGGAAGACTTGATGGGGATGGAACCACTTAGGATTGGAACTGTAAGGTGACAGTTCTTTCAGCTGAACCCACTCTCCAGGAACAAAGATGGTCAGAGACAGGTGGTAGGGCAGCCTGGGCCTGTACTGAGATGGAAGACAAAACCTGCACCAGATTATGCAAATGCTGAATAACTTTCTTCTCTTCTTCACTGACATTCTTGAACCTTCGTGCATCGTACATCATTTCAAAGCAAGTTTTCCAGAGCTGAGGCCTGTATTGAAATGGCCTCACCACTAGATATCACAACCTGTCTAGCCATTGTGTATGTCCCACATTCATAAGCTTTAAAAAAAACCCAACTAAACACATTCTTTAATTCCTCTTTCTCAAACATTCATTTCCTCTGCATGCCATTTCTGCCCCTTCTGCACCAACTTCACATGAATTAACTCTTTCCTTTTTTACTATTAATCAATCTTCTTTCTTTCCAAATTTTTGAAAAGTATCCACGTTTTCCTCTCCTCTCATGAACAACCTTAGAGCCTGGCTCAGAGCCCACAGGCTTGAGCTAACCACAGGGAGGGAGAGCCCCCCCCAACCTCCACTAACATTCTCTTCTCCAAATAATAATAATAATAGTAGTAATAGTAATAGGAATTGCTTCAATCCTGTGACAATATCTATAATATCACCAAAATGCCAAATCCAGTCTGAACATCTGGCTGACTGTGCGATGATCCATAATAATAATAATAATCAAGTTGGAAGGGACCTTGGAGGTCATCGAGTCCAACCCCCTCTCAGGCAGGAAACCCTACACCATTTCAGACAAATGGCTGTCCAATCTCTTCTCAAAAACTTCCAGTGTTGGAGCATTCACTGTGCTTTGCATCATGCTGCTTTTGAAAGAAAATATTAGCAGAATTTATATTCTGCTAAGATCCCAGTTTTAGCAGCTATGACAAACTATCACTTTCCTCTAGCAAAACCATATCTAAAACATAGTCTTCATTTTGTGGTGCTGAGTATAAAATTGAATCAAAGAGTCCATTGGCTAAAATGGGGAAATATTTGAAAAAGAATGAAACAAAATATAGGTACCAAATTATGCCTTCTGTTGTTATGTACATCAGTGTGCAGTGTGCAGCAGCAACCAAGAAAGCAATACAATCCTAGGTTGTATAAACAGAGGCATAGAATCAAGATCACCCGAAGTATTAACACCACTTTATAAAATCCTAGTAAGACCACACTTGGAATACTGCAACCAGTTTTGGTCACCATATCATAAAAAAAATGAGAGTTTGGAAAAAATTTAGAGATGAGCAACTAAGATGATTAAAGGCCTGGAGACTAAAACATACAAAGAACGGCTGCGGGACTTGGGTTTGGCTAGTCTAAAGAAAAGAGGAAATAGGGGAGACTTGATAACAGTATTCCAGTATCTGAGGGGCTGCCACAAAGAAGAGGGGGTCACTTTATTCACCAGAGGAAAGGATGAGAAATAATGGTTGGAAATTGATCAAAGAGAGAAGCAACCTGGAATTAAGGAGAAACTTCCTGACAGTGAGGACAATCAACCAATGGAACAGCTTGCCTCCAGAAATCTGGAGATTTTTAAGTAGACAATCACCTGTCTGAGATGTATAGGTTTTCCTGCTTGAGCAGGGGACTGGACCTCCAAGGTCTCTTCCAGCTCTATTTTATTCTATCGTAATAAATTAACTGCTTTGTACTTAACACCCATTTTAATTAGTATCTGTCAGATTTAAGAACACACATGCTAGCCAGCATCTTAAAGGTGTTGATATCTCTGGACAAGCTTCTAGGATTCAGATCTCCATATAGAAGGAAAAGCTAGGGTGTTCTTAAAGCAGCAATGGAGAATTACTGCATTTTGTTGGAAACCATAAACATTCCCAACTAAAAACAGGCTCCATCCCCTCATAAAAGCAGGAAGTCCAGTATCAAAAGCTGCTGAGTGTGCAGGAGAACTGCTCTTTCTTTGTAACAAATAAGAAGACATGTTTCATTATTGAATTAGCTATTGAATATCACTGCTGAAATAAACTAAGTTGCTTTGCTCAGACTCTAACAATATAGATTTATGATGTGCTGTAGTCTCCATTAAGTAAGGAATTAGTGTCTATGTAAATATTTAATTTCAGTTTAAAAAAAGTTAGATACTTTGGATGTTATATTGCTGATAAAGTAGAAGGAATACTATGGTTGGGTCAAAACATGGGGAATGCATTGTGTGTCCTGATACCTATTTAGCTCTGTTCACATTAAGCCACTAAGTAACTTTAGAAGATTAATGTCAGAGTGAAGCTGGGTTACAAATTTAACCTGAATTTGACCTTCATCCAACTAGGACACAGGAATAGCTTTCTCTCACTTGCTCTCCCCAACTCCCAACACACACACACTCCTTATACACACAAATATACACAGTGACTGGAAGTGCTGCCTCCTAAATTTAATTATATAGTGACTTTGTATGATAATTAAATTGTTAATATAAGTGCAATCTTCCTGGCTGAAAGATCATTTTCTAATTATTCAATATATCCCAAGAGTCAATCCTGGCAATAGATTTGAGGTACATAGACAATCTATATCATACCAGATAGCAGCACCTAGCTGAGCTTGGTTAACCTAGGTAAGGCCAGATTGGCTAACTATTTGGATGGAAGATCATTACTAAATTGCAACATTATAGATTAAATTGGAAAACTATAAAGCATTGCCAAAGAAGGCAAGAATAAATAATTTATGTATTGCTACCAATAAACCCACAAAGAAGCATCTAAGTAGCCTATAAAAATTGAGGTTGAGTTGATGGATGCTTCATTCTCAGACTAAATATTGATATAGTGAATCACTAATTTTCCTAGAAGAAAGGATGAACGTCTAAAACACGATGTGTAAACTCATCAGTCAGTCTCATTCAATGACCATGGAACTTCTCAGGGAATCAAACTTGCCATTTAATTTTTCATTAGATCATATGTTTGTTTATTGTTCTGATGAATCTACTGATCAACTTTTCTAGATATGCCATCTGTGTGAGCTTATTTTGGACTTTGAGGTTAATTCTGAACACTTGACCTGTTCTAACATGCTGAGCCTATTATCAGATTAAGGACAGAATACAATCAGTACCAAAATGAGCTCCTATCTAATTACAAAGACACTTTTGAGCAGAACAGTGGAGGTGGTGGAAGATCTCATCTGACCAACTAAGGCAAATGTATATCTAAGGCACCCTTTTTATTTGGAAGAAAAACCACATCAAAAGAGGTAAGTTTAATTTTCTTTCACAGAATGAGATAGATCGCAGTGGAAAAGCTCATTCAGATTTACACCAGTTTACTCTGTACACATTTATTGGAAAGAAGCCTAATTTATTCCAAGAAATTTGCTGATAAATAAGTGTTATTTGGGAATATATCCTTTTGGCACAATATATATACCAAAACATTTTTTATTCAAATTTGGGGATGGAAAAGCAACATTCTTGTATAGAGGCATGAAAGAAACACAATATTACTAGGTTACAGATATATACTCATATGCAGCTGCCACCTGCATTATCGAGCGTCCATCAAAGGTACCAACACTTCTATCCCAACATAACACAAAAGTCAAATCATGACTTGTACTGCCAAGGGACAAGAATCCACACACAGAACACCTGAATTTAAATTTTCAGTCAGTTCTAATCTACCTTATAAAATCTATTTAGTCTGAACTCAACATTATGAAAGTAATATGATACTGGGCTTCTGTATTATAGAACTTATTCCACAAATAATTGGTGCAATAGATTTGCATAAACACTAGCATCTGGGCAGAGCTTAGCGCTAGTCCTATGATTACCTATGATTTGTTAAGAGTAATTAAATCTTTATTTCTTTATATGTGGTGATCAGTATGTTAATGATAATCCCATATAATAATTATGAATTTTGAAAAGTAAATGTTCTGCTGGGATAATTTGTCGATTATTATTCAATTGATCTTGTTGTCAATTACCCTTGTTGTAAATGTTGTTGGCATTGTCACAAGGAACACTGGCTGATTTAATAGGTTCAGGCAGACAGCAGTCAGTATTGGTGTCCAAATGGTAAAATTCACTAAAGGAAAAACAGCAATGATTCTTAGCAGCAGGAGTGAAAAACAATGTAAATGGTTCCCTATGATCTATCTTCCAGATTGAAATTCAATTCAATACCCACCTTTCACTTCTTGGATGTTCATTCTGCCTTTGTTTTTCTAGTTGTTTAGTTCAAGAGGTGTTTTTCATATTGACTTATCAAAAATCTCTTGCTCATAACTCAAAAGACCTCTGTTGCTCCCTGGAGTCAAAACTTGTAATATTTGGTCTGCTGCCAGGGAGACCATATGAAGACATTATAGCTAAATTTAGCCATAGGTTATTTCTGCTGCCAAGGAAAGTCAGTCTGCTTATCAACAGAGAAGGGGATAACCAGAGATTGTTTTGTATTGAGACTTTCATTGACATGGAACTCGACCTTTGCTGCAAAGGATTCTGGGGAATATTGTGATATTCTAATATAATCTAGTTGTAAAGATGAGGGAAAGAGAATTGTGCATATTGCTCTGAAATCTTGTGAAGATGGAATGAAATAAAAACATTAATCAGCAGCAAACTTAGTTATGCTTATGAAAAACCCATTGAAATTAGTGGATCAAATGAATCATGCCTAATATTCCTACTAATTTCTGGGATCTTCTTTAAACACAGATTTAGGCATTTTATGGTCTTAGGCCATACCTGGCCCTTTAGCTGTCCCTGTCCAGTCTGTATCAGGTCAATCAGAAATTAGAAATCAAATGTAAATAAGCAGGGAGCAGAAGAAGGTGAGTCAGCTCCCTCAATCAACTAATGGCTGTAGGAGGGCAAGGAGAGAAAGCATTCTTCTGTGCCTGCGCAGGGCTCCCTCCGCGCCTGGAACATCAAATCAGGTACATTGGTTTGGCTGTCCGCAACAGTCCCAGTTTCTCATGTGCCTCCTTGGGGAAATTAATTGCCCAATCCTGTTGAAACATGATTAATTCTAGATCAGTTTCTAATAACTGATTCCTATAAGAGAAGAGCAGGCACAACTGGAGGACAAAGTAAAATGCATCATCAGTTTAGTATCCTTGCATTGCCACAAGAAATCCAAGTTGTGACCCCTTTGAATTCCACTAACCTATCCAGCACCAATTTAGTGCAGATAGTTAGTTGACCAGATTCTTGTGCGCAGGCTTCAATAAATTATTTATGCCATAACCTAGATGAACGGTCCTGATTCTTTGAGCCTGACAATTCCCGCTATGGATCCCCTATTCCTAGAATAGTTTGAAAGCCAATGCTCTAATGTAGGTGTCTAACACAAAAGCTGTAACACTTATTCTAGCAACTAAACTCTTGAAAAATCTTACAGAGGCTGTGAGTTACAGGATGTTTTAATTACCATCTCCATACAGAATGCAAGACATTTTAAAGTATAATCCCTGACTTGGAGCGCAATAACATTTCAATGGTATTTCAGCCAACCATAGTCTTTTGTAAATACCATATTTCAAACTTTGAAATGAACTACCATTTCTGCAAAGCTCATTGTACAATTATATGTTGTTCTGAGTTCCACCAAAATATAGATACCAAAGCAGAATTCACTTCTGGCTGTGCATTCACAAAGCATCTCAGAAAAAGAAAAGGGATAGAAAATATCTATGGAGATTTTCAGTCATCTAGGTCACAATTATCTCAAAAGTACTTTTTCAAAAAGCAATAGGACTTGTTTTTGCCTTAAGGAAGATACTTCGTTTCTCATCCAAGAATTGAAGAAGCTTTTGGATGAGAAGCAAAATGTCTTCCATAAGGAAAAAACAAATCCAGTTACCTTTTGAAAATGCACTTTTGAGAAAAGGAATGGAAAGAGTAAAAATAGCTAATTTGTACCTGAAATAATTTGAGACTAAAACTGAGACATACAAAATCCCAAAGTTTAACCTCATTTTGTTTGATGACCTTGAAGAAAGCCTGTTTTACCCTCATTGCCATCCTGTCTTCCAAACACAGATAAGGCTAACCTTCAGCCCACAGGGCTAGAGAAGCTTAATTCATTAGCAAAATAAATAGCTTTGGATCTTATGGATGGAAAAAGTCTGGTGAAGGGCAACTTCTCACCTCCTATCAAATTATTTAAGCAGCCAACATTAAAAGAAAGGAATTGTTTATCTGCCTTGGAGCATTAGATTCTCATGGAAAGATAACTGCAATTAGTTTAGGCTGAAGTTGTTTTTTAAAATAAGAGCTGATAAAATAGCTTGATCTCTTTTGATCTGAGCTTTTGGCTGAGGCTGCACCAATCCTGCCTTGGAACTCAGTACTTTTCCCACCTGTTCTGTATTGTGAAAACAGGTTTCTGTTTTCACTTCATGTGATTCCTTATACAAAGATATTGTGATCATGATCATGGGATAAATTATACCTATACTTAGAATGTTCACTCTTGCCTTGAGATGTCTTCCTACAGACACTTGTGTTTAATGTCACAACCAGTTTTAAATACCATGCTCAGCCTCAAAATACACAGAAAGCCTTTCTAGAGGTCCATAAATTGATCTCTCTGTATGTGAGCTCTTGAGTTATACAGTATACTTCTTATTTTGTTCAGAAAATTTCCAGTAAGAGACAGTCCTTCCCCTTCTCGTTCATGAATTGGAATAAGCAAAAAGTCATCAGGTTTATGATAACACTGATTTTTTTTCTTAACTGTTTCCCCATTTATTTCCTCACCTACTTATCATCATATACATTTATTTCAGCTTTATTTCAGTTAATTAATAAAATACTAAAGCATAAAAATCAAACAGCACAAAATCTAGTAATGACAAAACAATATACAAGCAGAAAATTAATTAGTGAAGGTCATTCAAAAAATTAAAACTAATCAGGATGGGAACCATCTTTGAACGATCCAGAAGGTTCAGATTATCTTGTGGAGTACCATTTTTTTCAGATAGATTTCTGCTAAAACACATTTGCCGGGAACATCCCAAAGAGTCTTTCAGAAGAGTTCTTAGAGTCCTGGTAGGTAAATATAGAAGGAAAAGAATCTTTTAAAAAATATAATTAGCCTCAAGTCATTTAGGACTTCAGGTTAAGATCAGCACTTTTGAACTAGACTGAAAATAAAAAAAATCTTGTGATACGCTTGAAACACCCAGACTCAATTCAATAATTTTGCTGCTGAATTTTGGGTAGAATGGAACTGTGCAAGTTGTTTTCGAGGACAACTCCATGTACAATATATTACAACAAGCAATTAAAAGAAGATAGTCAAAAACAGAAAACAAGACAATGACTGTATATATATTCACTAAAACCTTAGCTATCTTACCAGTTTAACTGCTGTAATCTTCCTCAAGAAAAAATGTTTACTTTAACCTCATCTTTCATTTGGGAGCTCATAGCTTTGTACGTGATGTCCCCATTCTCTATTTTTGCTCACAACAACCATAGTAGGTTGGTTAAAAAAGTCACTGGCTCAAGGTTACTCAATAAGGAGTAACTGAAAGGGACTAGAATCTGGATTTGTCTTGTCCTAAGCCAATATTTGAATATTTCTGAGATCAATCTTTTAAAAAAAGCTTCTTAGAATTCTTAAGACATCCTGAATTCTATTGAATGATTCAGACAATTACCTAAGGTGAAGAATTAAATATTAAATTATTTTAAATCTTAGATCGTGAGTGCAAGTAAGCCACATTATGATTTGTTGGGTTTTGGCTCATTGTAGTGTCCCAACATATCCCACTAATTGAAAAAATGCCCCAAATCCTAACTCTTTCATTGACTCTACCGCATTATTATCACATATCTTTGCTACTCTCAGAGGCTGCAAAATTACATTTTGAAAGTATGATGACTGGCCACAAAACAGCTGCCTGTCCATGTTAATCAGAATAGCATGTGGCAGTAAAAAGGACTTTGGATAAGCCTCTTAACCTGTAGAACTGATTTAACTCAGATTTCTTTTAATAAGATTGAAAATCCTAGCCACCAATATTGCATTACGGCTTTGAAACAAACACATATTGCTCCTGGGCTGAGGCCCAAATTATATCAAATAGTAATTATATGCAAGTTACCAGGTTATTAAAAGTGAAATAAAGCACCATTGACCTGTTTTCACTTTTCTTTTAGGAAGAATACAATACCTTTCTTACCTTATTTATCTTCTAATCCTGTCACAGGATTCTTCCTCTTCTTCTTCATAAGTGCTGACAAACAAGGCTCTAATGCTATCTGTTGGGATTCAGTGTGCAGCAATTCATTTTTTTCTCCTTAGTAAGATTTATTTAGAGATTAAAAAGATTGAGGAAGTAACAGCTTAAAATTGGGAGCAGTCATAGTCTGGACTTTCTCAAATTTCATGAAAATAGCTAGCTATTCAAGAATGAAAGCTTTATCTAATCTATTCTGTCCTCTTAGGGGTTTTTTGATCATATGAAAAAGTGAAGTGGCAGAAAACAATGGATATTTACAAGCAGAACACTACAATCTCTGAACTGCTAAATGAACTGGGGAACTGCATAAGGGACATCTCTTCTGGAATTAACCTAGATTCGATTTTTGTTTCTGAGGGTCAGTAGCTCATGATTCCTTGTGGAAGGATTGGATCTTGGGGCTGATATCCCTTGCTCTGAAGGATTATCTGGAGAGTCAACAAATGATAAAGCTAGAGGCAAAGAAGCTCAGTGTCAAAAGACAGAAATGCTTTTGCTTTAAAAATGTATTATTCTTTCCTCTAGAACAGTGGTTCTCAACCTTTTTAATGCCGCAACCCCCAACCGGTCGTAAGTCGAGGACTACTCAATCAGTCATAAGTCGAGGACTACTCAACTGGTGTAGCACCATTTGCAGACTGGGACTTTTGGCGGGCTCAGCAGGGCAGAGACAGCCTGGACAATTCCTATTGGCTTTTGAAAGCCAATAGAATTAGACTCTATTCAAGAGAGTCTATTCTATTGGCTTTCAAAAGCCAATAGAATAAAAGGGAGTAGCACAGCTAAGGAAAAGGGGGGGAAAAATGGCGGACTGCGTTGTTTGGCGATCCCTGTGAAATGGTTGTTCGACCCCAAATGGGGTCCCGACCCACAGGTTGAGAACCAGTGCTCTAGAATTATTTCTCCCATAGAAGACATATGAAAATCCAAGGGAGTCTGAAGTAAGAGGTCAACCAGATTTACATCTATTTAACTATGATGGATTGAATAAGCATAATTGACCATGTTTGTAGTTGATTGACAGATGACTTGTTGGGGCCTAGAAGGCTAATATGGATTGATATTTTTATTACAGGGCAAAATGGCTCAGGATATGACTGAGAAGGAGATAAAGCAAATGGAATTAGATCAACTGAAGAAGGAAGTAAAGCTTGAAAGACAAATGGTAATGGGTTTCAAATGTACTCTACTAAAAATAATCAGTACTTCTGCATCCACAACATTTCAGAAGTGTTGGTCACATGATAGCCTTGCGTTTTGCGGGCTTAAAAAGTTATAGGAACCGATGAGCTGATGTTCTCTTGTTCAATCAGTTGGTGTCAGTATAGCCATACTTTCTGAAATGCAGAATAATAATTTGTCAAAGGGAAAGGGAAAGAATAAAATAAATAAAATATAGAAGGGACATTTGCACAAGGCACACTGAAATAATTAACAGTCATGCAGGAATATTATGCAATGTTATAGTTTCCATATGTTTAAACTGTGTCTTCCTAGGGCATTTTGTCAAATAATGTTTATCATTCCAATGATTTTTCATCCAAATAACTATGCTAAATTTTCATGTTTAAAAGACAAAATTACATTAAGACAACATAAATATGTTTGCCAACAAATGAAATCCCCAACAGTTTTAGTCACAGGGCACATCTAGAATGTTGGTAGTAAATTCCATGCTATCAACTACTCTGGATTGGCTAGGACAGGGGTAGGCAACCCAAAACACTCAAAGAGCCACTTGGACCCATTTCCCACCAAAAACAAAACACCGGGAGCCGCAAAACCCTTTTGATATCTAAAATGAAGATAACACTGCATATATCCTTTTTTACCTTTATTATAGTGTGTGTGTGTGTGTGTGTGTGTGTGTGTTTGTGTGTGTGTGTATGTATACACACACACACACACACACACATTAAAAATGAAAGTAAAAATATGACTCTTGGGAATATCCATACTATTAAAACAATGATCACCAAGAGAATGCTTTAAGAGAATAAAATTACATACACACAGAGGGAAAAAAAGGATATATGCAGTGTTATCTTCATTTTAGATGTCAAAAGGGTCTCTCTCTCTCTGTCTCTCTCCCATCCTCCCTCTCTATCTGCCCTTGGTCTACCACTCTTCTTCCCCCCCCACACACACACTCTCTCTCTCCCTCCCTCCCTCTCTCTCCCTCCCTCTCTCTTTCTCCCCCCTCTCCTATCTGCTGCTCACCTGGCAAGCTTCAAGCTGTTGTCCAACAAGCTCAGGGGTAGAAAACCTCGTCTCTTTTATGACTCATGGACTTCAACTCCCAGAATTCCTGAGACAGCCTAGCTGGGCTAGCTAGCTCTCTCCTGCCCTTCCTGCTTCCTGTTTCCTGCAGAGACGCAGGAAAGGGAGGAGCTCCGTCCAGAAAGCTTTTCAGCTCCTCGGAGAACACTGTGAGTGCACTCTCTTTTACACACACACAAACACATACACACACACACACAAACACACACACACACACACAGAGAGAGAGAGAGAGAGAGAGAAGCAGGGAATCGCAATTGCCTCTCTCTGTCTCTGTCTCTCTCTCTCTCTGCAAAGGCAGAGGAGGCTGGGAGCCACATGGGAAGGCTCAAAGAGCCGCATGCGGCTCCGGAGCCGCAGGTTGCCGACCCGTGGGCTAGGACATTCAGTTTCAGAGAGAGGAACCAACATATCTGAATCAGGCTGGAATGCAGGCAGCAGGCTTGATGCATACTTTTCAAGTTGTCGGTATTAAAGGAAGAACAAGAGAAGGTAAGCATGTATACATGTAAGAAGGATCTCTCTTGTCTCTTCTTGTCAAGTGGCTATGGCCATGATATCTCCATTTCCATCTCCATGGAAGGATGGGGCTGCAACTGAACCTCCCCATCTTCTAAAGACTTTCAGGAAGCCATCCTGTGACACAGTGAGGAAAAATATCACTGGAACACAGAGAAAAAAGTATATTTGAATGAAATTCACATTGTTTCACAGTTTCAAAAACCTTCCTACCAAATACTTTGAAGTGAGACTTGATAAATTATGCCATCAACTATTCAAACTGGAAGGTTCAATTACTATGCAAACATAATTTGCAAATTTTATATCAATCAGCCCACACAGTAATGTTTTCTGTGAAGATGTTTTTAGGACATAAATATGCAATCCATGTTAAAAGCTATTTAGGGGAATCAACAGAAAAACATGCTATAAACAGCATAGCAGAATATACAGTTATTTAAAAATTGCTATCAAGAAATTCAATCGTAATGAATGATCACTGATCTAATCCAAATTCAAAGCTGCCACATATGAAACTTGAGGACAAAAAAATGGCTTCTTAAGAAGTCAAGAAGACTAGTCATAGAAAAGTTTTGGTCTCAAGGAAGACTGTTCCTATTGTGCCAAATTTAGCTTTAGTCTCCATTATTAAGATCTCATCTTGAGAAACAATGAAGTGTAGTAGTAGCAAAAAGAAGCAAATTAATTACTCAGAAATTAGTCATTTTGAGTTTAGAAAAAGCTGAAACAGTTAAAGTGGTACATTTGAGACCTTATTTAGAATCACAACATTGCAGAAAGAATGAAAGAAAGCCTTGCTAAACTATTCTTCCTTATCCTCTTGCAGGAAGGATCCCTACTAATTTGTTACTATTTAGAGGTTGTACATTAGAAATCAAAAGTTCAGGAAATGAAATACTGCATCTTTTTTTCCACATAGATCTCCAAGACAGCAAAAGAACTCAGGACCTTTATAGAATCTATGGCTGCAGAAGACCCTCTCTTAAAAGGGGTCCCAGAAGACAAGAACCCATTCAAGGAAAAGGGAGGCTGTACAATAAGCTGACCCTGGCCCCACCAAGAGAAGATCTTTGTTGCTCTCCTTATATGTTACTAGAACTATATGAATTATGTTTACCCAATAAAATGAGTCTAAGTCAGGATCGGAGAATCTTTGTGCCCCACAAAGGGTCACAGGATCCCCATCCTTAGAAATTTTCTGCAGGAGGGAATTTAATCAAGCCTCAGAAAAAAAGGACCCAGAACAAATTCATGACCAAGATATATATGGTCATGAATTTGTTCTAGTTCCTTTATACAGAAAGAGGAATGGGAGGAAGAGGATATCTCTTTTAAGACTTAAATATATTTGTTATTTTTGTAAGTAGGTAGTCTTTATTAATTATATATTTCCTGAAGAGGTCTAGGCAAAGGTAGACTAGATAATCACTAAAAATATATTACTATTCTATATTCCATGATTTAATTATTACTTTTTTTAAAGTAGACTTCTGAATTATTTTGGATGCTTTATTTTTTGCCGGAAAAATGATGAAAGATTGAAAAAAAAACAGAATAGAAAAAAGATTATTACTAAAGATTTCTCTCTCTTCCCATTCTGCCAAGTGGCTACCTGGAAGGCTTTAAAAATATGAATTATTTAGTTATTCAATTTTATTAATACTGTTGTTGTTTTTTAGAAAATTATATTTGTAACTTAACTTAGTTTTCCCATTTGCACCAACTGATTAAGCACTACTTTGTCTGATGTCAAAGTAGTGTCTCTCAAGCAATGCAATGTTAAGATTGCAGAATTCAGGTCCCAGAATTCAGATGTGTGCACTTCAATTCAGAAGTTGAAGTGCACACATCTGAAAATTGCCAAGATTGAGAAACACTCATCTAAATTACAGTCTTCACATGCAAGAAAGCCTCATCACAAAACAAGTTGGGCTAAGAAACTCAGTGTCTCCATAACAGAAACACAATATAAGAAAGGAAGTTATGATGAAAAAGTCCAGATTGATGGATATTGAGATGGTGCAATATAAATATAATTAAATAAATTAAATTAAAATAATGGAATGATTCTTGGCTTTCTTTCATTACCATAACTAACTACTTCTCAAAATATGCTGGGAACTATATCATCTGTTCTTAAGGCTCAGCTATTCACGTTTGTGTAACAAAATCTTAATCCCCATATTTACTACAGAAAATAGCTTTGAGAAGAAGCTATTTGAAAAGGCTAATGGAATCTACTATTCTCCACACTGAACTTTGCCATGTTCCTACCAAGTTAATATCTCATCTGATTGTTACTTTTACTTCTCAGATGTCCCAAAGGTGTTTTTTAAGAGGCAACTAGACTTTCTTGTTTTTCTTTGAAGATGTTTCGCTTCTCATCCAAGAAGCTTCTTCAGCTCTGAGTGGATTGTGGGGAATGGAAGGATTTATATTCCTTGCCAACAATAGGTCATTTGCATTCTTTTAGAGAGTCATTGAGGCCACCTGGAGGTTTATCTGTCCCCTCAGGGTCACCTGAGTGGTGCAAATGAGTGTGGAGTCTTCTTGGAATTGCTGAAAGGACTGTGTTGTAGACCCTAACATTTTCAGCAATTCCAAGAAGGCTCCACACCCATTTACACTACTCAGATGACCCTGGGGACATAGATAAATCTCCAAGTGGCCTCAATGACTCTCTAAAAGAATGCAAATGACCAGCTGTCTCCAAGGAATATAAATCTTTCTTCAGTCAGAGCTGAAGAAGCTTCTTAGATGAGAAGTGAAACGTCTTCAAAGAAAAACAAGGAAGGCCAGTTGCCTCTTGAAAAAGCACCTTTGGGACAACCATGACTTGGATGACTGAGAATCTCCATAGACATTTACTTCTCAGATCTTATTGCAGATAGGATAGGATATTCATTTATCCTTGAGATAAAAGAATTGCAAAGCAGGTAGAAAAGTAATGATAGACAGACAGACAGACAGATCGTTAGCTCAAGAGTAGATAATGGGTTATGTCACTACATATTATATAATGTTTAGTTCCAGATCTAGTTTCTGCAAACCATATTACAAAGTACAGATATGACTAATAGTTTTAAATAAAAAATGCACATTTTTCCATGCAGCACTGAAATAGCCTGTTTTATTATTATTCATTTGGTGGAAACTCATGCAAGCATTGTAGAAGGCAGGCATATAAGGTATGAAGTGTGCAAGAAGAGAAATAAATTCTGACTTGGTTTTGACAAGAAAATCATGCTGTCATTTCAAAGCTCACTTATTTCACTTCAGAAGTAGAATGGCTACACAAATCTACTTAATTCCATATTTTAAAGTTTGATTTGACCACCTGAGCCCTAATCCATAAAATTCAATCCTAAACACAGCCTGTATCAAGTGTGAATGTCCCAGAAGCATTTTAATGGTGTGGAAAAGTCAGTATCAGACAACACACATTTTTTCTTATATTCAATTCATCTCACTTTACTGATTTATTTATATTTAGACAAACAGATTATAAGTACTTCCCTACAATTTGTACCATGACAGCAGTTCCAAGTTCCAGACTTGCTGTTAGGCAAGATATGACAATGACTCAGGAAGCAGATACTGGCAAGAGGAAGTCGGGCAGCAGAGGTGAAAAAGGAGTATGCGGTATTCAATTGTGAGGTACTGGCTGCCATCTTGCCTTTTTTTTATATCTTTGTGGTTGTCTTTGAGGGAAGGCAATTGTATTATTTCCCCATGTCATTCCCCCTTCTTGAAGGGCAGAAGGTTCATCTCATAAACAATTCTTCTACTCCTTTGCCACTGTCAAAACAAATTTGAAAAAGTTATCTTCTGTACCTGTTCCGAGGATGCCACTATACAACACCGAAAAAGTCACTGAAAAAGGGGACTTATGACCATTTTTCACACATTGCAGCATCCCCATGGTCACATGCTCAAAATCCAGACATTTGGCAATTGATTAGGGTCTTAGTGTCCAGGCTCATGTGATCATCTGACAAGTAAAATCAGTATTTAAGCCAGATTCTCTTAACTAACTAACTTAACTAACTAACTTAACAACTGCAGTGATTAACAATTGGAGTAACAAAGGTCACAAGATGGGGCAAAATTCACTTAACAATTATGTTGTTTAGCAACAGAAATTTTGGATTCAGTTGCAGTCATTAAAGCAAGAATAACCTATACCAGTGGTGGCGAATCTATGGACGGGTGCCAGAGGCGGCACTCAGAGCCCTCTCTGTGGGCACGCGCACCGTCACCCCAGTCCTAGGCCTTCATCTGGGTTTTATAAAACCTTTTCGCTTTAGGCCTCCGCCGCTGTGTACAAAAAAAAAAAGGGTTCAATCAATCAGTCATTTTCAACCTCACGGGAAAAAAAAAGATCTTGCAAAGTTGGAATTGATTGATTGAACTTTTTAGTCCCACTCAGTCTGCTGTTACCACTGCAGCCACGCCCACCCAATGGGCCACACCCACCCAATGGGCACACCCACCCACTGGGCCACACTCACTCGGCACCCGATGATGGATAAGTAGGTTTTGGGTTGCAGTTGGTCTCTGAAAGGTTCACCATCACTGACCTATACAGCTCATTGATGCCTCCTATAAAGGTTATGCAACATGTGCATTTTCCTGATTGTTTCCATACGAAAAGAACTCCTTTCCTCTGTTAATACAGAAGTATAGGTAAATGGTTCATTGTAGATATTGCTCATCTATCAAGCCTTAGGGAATCAATTTCTCCTCTATATCAATTACATATTCTCATTTATTTCCCATCAATATCTGTTCTGATGAGTCAAAGTTCTCCTGATAAAATTAACTGAACCATGTCATTAAATATACTTACTCAACAATATAGAAAGGAATCTATTGCATTAATAAACTGGACACTTTTTTCATTAATTTCTTCTTCTGTGATCTATTGGTTTTAAGCCATGACTGCTGACTGAGTAATGTCTGTGGAGGGGGGAGGGGAGGAGGTGTTATAAGTTGGGAGATACAGGTCTTACTGACATCCACAATTCAGCTAAAAATAAAACCCACTGTTACCTCTCAAGTAACTGAAATGGTAACCCCAAGGGAGAGAGCCACCCAAATTTTGCATTTGGAGGACTGGTCCGTCTAAACTAGCATTTTTCAAACTTGGCATCTTTAAGATGTGTGGACTTCAATTCCCAGCATTCCCCAACCAGCATGCTTGGAACTGCAATCCACCTATCTTGTTGCCAAGTTTGAAAAACACTGGTCTAAACAAGATGAAAATGCAGTTAAAGTGCCTATAGTTGTGCATGACTGCACATACTGATTAAATTGGAACAATACATATATCTGCCTTTGTTTTTATTAATTGCATCCAAGCACCACAGTGTAACAATTTGTTCCTTGAAAGAGTTGAAGTAATTACCTGAGAAGATCATCTGACTAAAAGTGATGACAGAAAAGGCAATCCTTAGAAAAAGAGTAATGTTTACTAAATCCTTCACATTCAGAAATGCTCCATTCAGGATTTCAGAATTGGAGTTTTATTTTTTGGTCTATTCTTCCATTCTGTTATCCTTGCCTGTCTTACCTATATGAAGTGTTGTACAGATTTTTTTTTAATAACCTGATGATTAGGTTTATTTTATGTGCTTTGAGACCAGAAATCTATTCTTTCAATTCATCATATGGCACAAATGTTTTCCTGATTTTTATTTTGGTTTTTAATTCTCTATTCACTGAACGCCATTCTTTATATTTTTAGACACTCTGTTCACTTACTATTCATCTCTGTATTAGCATTAAGAGATAAGTAAATAGCCTCTGGCAACTAGAACAGAATAAAATGACACAGTTTCTTCATATTGCTATCTTTGAAGTAGATTCATTTTTTATGAAACAATAACTTAAAACTTATTTAAATAAAAGCATAAATAATCATTAAATGTTTATTTACCTGGAATCCTTTTTCCCCCCCTCTTCCACTTAAATACCCAGCATTATATAATATTTATATACCGGTGTTGCTCACTTCTTTGGTAAACCAAATCTGATGTTTAAAAGGAGAAAAACCAGATACTATCAAACGGGGATGACCAGAGTGAGGGGAATGGAGACTAAACCCGACAGCATAATTTCGGCCCTTAAGTATTAAGTAAAATGCTAATTTTAAGGAAGTGGATACTTGCATAACTGCCTACCAACCTTCGAAATTTCCTGTTCTACCCCAATGCTATCATTGCTGCAGTTTAAAAAAAAAATAAATCAAAAACTTGCATCTTAATTCACCAGTTTATTTACATCGGGTAAAAGAGACTGAGATTAAGTTGTCTTTTTTAATGCATCACCAAAAATAAGTTAATGAGAAGGGGGAATAGAAAATTTAGACTGAGAGACGCACCTCTCATAAAAATGGAAAGCAGGAAGGACAGACTGCAGCAAACTGCTTTCCCGTTTTAGCCAATAGTTAAGTGCAGCTGGAAGCATTCTGTCGGCGCCGATTATCCCCTCCCTCACCTATTCTGACAGACGAAAGACGTAAGCATGCGCAATAGCCACTTCTGTTAAATCACAAGCACAAAATGCTGTTCTACGCCTGGGGCATTTTTGCGATTGACATGTCTCTTCGAAATTTATTAGGAACTCCGCAACAAAAAGGCCATAGGAGGTCCCACCGAGATTTGAACTCGGATCGCTGGATTCAAAGTCCAGAGTGCTAACCATTACACCATGGGACCTACTGACTCATGGATGAAGCAGGAGGCTTTCTGAGTACATACTCTTCTTCAGTACATTGCATTTTTAGGTGCAATCTACCAAGCAATCAAAAACATCCATGGGAACAAGAAGCAAAAACGTGGACGAGGTTGCCATAGCAGCAGAACCAAGCCAAAGCTACCTTTCTCGCGCAGACCTGCGACATTGGCTGCTCCGCTTAGATCACAAACTCCCATAATACCCTGGAGCACGTGCTTGGCTTGAAAGGTGTAACCCAGCGAATCTGCAAGAAGGCGGCAACTGGAAGAAAAGCGAGGGAAAAGAAAGTTATTTTTTTGTTTACGGAAGCAGGCACATTTCTGAGATACCGTTCTCATCATGGTGAGGCTAATCAGTCTTAAACTAGGAGGAAAGGCAGCTCACACAGGTGCACAATTGTTAGTCTAACTCAGGGGTAGGCAACCTTGGCTCTTTTATGACTCGTGGACTTCAACTCCAGAATTCCTGAGCCAGCTGGCTCAGGAATTCTGGGAGTTGAAGTCCACGAGTCATAAAATAGCCAAGGTTGCCTACCCCTGATCTAGCTGGAGGATCAGCCCAGGACTTGTCCAAGACATTGGGATGTTTGATAGGCATACCCTGTTCTCCCATGTTGGAAAAAAAAAGTTGTCTTTTGCTGCTGAATCTCTCTTGAACTCTACAAAGCTGCTGGAAACTCTTGTGGCTGGAAGTTTCCCAATAATCAAATCAGTTTATTATAGTCATATGGCCAGATGCAATAAAATATCCATTTGTTGGCTACTTGCATACACACATATATAAAAAAGCAATGAACATAATCTAATAATGAATAAGAAATGTAAGGTCACTGGACCTTAAATTTGAGATACCATTAAAAGTCTAATCAGGTAACACAAACAGAAGCTTCTTGAGGAAACAGTGCTTTAATTGGTCAAGTAAAACAGCTGGGTAGAAAACAATCTGGAACACTGGCAGAGTTACGTCCAGACACGCCACACCTTAGAAAGTTAGTAGCATTGCCTTATAAACTTTGTTAGGTAATGAAAATCAGACAACAGAGCTATTACATCATAAGGAAGACACTAGTCATTCCTGTATACTCCCTTATTCCCTCCCTCAGTACATCCCATCCATGTACATGTTTCCCATGCTTGCATGAAATTTGTCCATGATGCAAATGCTGATTACCAAAGCAAGACAGCAATAGTTAGGCCAAACAATTTCTTTTTAGTTCTAGTTATTATTCTAGTTCTAGTTATTATTATAAGGTGACCAACTGTCCTCCTTAAGGGAGGACAGTCCTCCTTTTGTGAGTTCTGTCCTCCCTTGAAAAGTGCCCTCCTACATGTCCTCCTTTTCTATATTTGAAGACTAATCTGCAGGGCTTTTTTTTCTCATAGAACGCTCAGAACGGCGTTCCGGCACCTTTTTTTGATGTTTTTTTTTCAACTTATGCATGAGCTGTGCTACTCCCCCTGTTGGCTTTCAAAAGCCAATAGGAATTGCTGCTGAGCACGCCAAAACGCCTGGCCGGCAAACTTTGCACATGTAAATTGTCTGCAGCGAAGGCGAATTGGCAGGAACTTTGCACCCCTCTCTGCTACCCAATTACACCATCTCCTACCTGGAGGAGATTGATCTTCAGCCCTGCAAGGGCAATAATGGCTGCGGGCGCAAGAGGCAGGGGCGGCGGCGCTGCTGAGGGTGGGGGTGTGAGGGGCAGGGGCGGCCAGCTGCCACTGTGCTGTGGGAGCTGCGGGGCCTGCTCTACACAGGGCTGTGCAGGATGGGTGGTGGTGCTGGTGGGGCGGCTGCAGGTGAGGTGTGTTGATGGTGGGCTACCCTCCAGGGCCAGAGCCAGTGCAGCTGGTGCTTTGGGAGCTGCGGGGCCCGCTCTACATGGCAGGGCAGCAGTGCTGGCGGGGCGGCTGTGGGCG